GGGCGTGGATGGAGGGCGCCGCGCGCCCTGCCCGCTGCTCGGCGTGACGCGGGCCCCGCGCCCACCATGTCCTACCCGCAGGGCTACCTGTACCAGGCGCCCGGCTCGCTGGCGCTCTACTCGTGCCCGGCGTACGGCGCGTCGGCCCTGGCGGCGCCGCGCAGCGAGGAGCTGGCGCGCTCGGCGTCGGGCTCCGCGTTCAGCCCGTACCCGGGCTCGGCGGCCTTCACCGCGCAGGCGGCCACCGGCTTCGGCAGCCCGCTGCAGTACTCGGCCGACGCCGCCGCCGCCGCCGGCTTCCCGTCCTACATGGTAACCGCGCGCGCGGGCGGGCGGGGGCGCGGGGCGCACGCTCGGGGGACCCTCCCCGGGGGCGCGAGGGGCGCGGGGCCGCGGGGAGCGTGCGTGCCGCGGCCGGTGTGTTCATAGCCGCCACTCGGGCAGCCGCCGGCCGGCGACGCCGCTGAGCCCTGGCCGGGACCCGCGTCCGCTCCCCTCGGCTCCTGGGAGAATTGAACCAAACGGCCCGGGAAGCGCGACCGGGCGGGGGTCGGGGTCCGGCCCGGTGCGCCCTTCGCTCACGCGCCGAAGCTCGGCCTGGGGTCCCAGCGCGGGCCTGGGGCTCGCCGCTGCGGGCGCGGGACCTCCGGGCGGCTGCCGGGGCTTAGCTGTCGCTGGCGGGGCTTGGGGCGATCGGGTTGGGAGGGAGCGAAGCATCTGCCGGCGGCTCCCGGCCCGGCGCAGCCCGCGGCGGTCTAAGTCCCACAGGCCGTGCTTTCGAAAGAAGTGTCGGCGGGCGTGTGCCCCGCCAGTGCCGCCTCGGTCCCCTACGAACCGAGAGCAGCTCCCGTGTCCCGGACCCGGGGTCGCCCGCGCGCCTCGGTCGGCTGCTGGGCCCGGCGGCGGTGGCGGTGGCGGCGGAGCGCGTTGCGGGTGACGGAGGCCGTTTCGGGGGGTTGTGGACACAACCCGCCCTCGGGGGAATTCCAGGGCAAAGACTGTGTGGCTGGGGCCTCGGTGAAGGCTGCAAATGCCTCGAATTTAAACATTAAAGGCTGAATTAAAATGCTAATTACCGCGTATTTGAAGAATTCGAAACGGCGACCGGCTTCTGAGTTGCAAATTGGATTTGCCAGAGCTTTGGAGCTGTGAATAGCGGAGCGGGGGCGCGGGCTGGTTTTTTAACCACGTAAGGGCGGGGGAGGGGGGAGAAGGGGGAGGCCGCCGCGCCGGAGAATCCAGAGAAATTTAGATATCAGGGGACGACCCGCGGGCCTGCTTGTGCCTGGTGTTTCTGTGCGTCCGTACCCGCGGCTCGGGGACTTCTGGGGTGGGGGTGGGGGGGATGTGTCCTTTTAGGAAAGTGAAATACTTCAAAAATTCGAAAATAAAACTGCAACGCGTTTGGTGATCAACAGCTGGCCGTTCCGTTCTTTCCTGCTCCGCTGCCGCAGGAGGCGCGGCCCGGCCGCGGGAGACTCACGGTGGGAAAGGCGGCGGCGGGCGGGCCGAGGGGGCGCCTTTCGGGCTGCTGCCTGCCGGGTCCCCGCGCGCCCCACTCACCAGGCTCTTGTCGGTTCCAGGGCGCGCCCTACGACGCGCACACGACCGGGATGACGGGCGCCATCAGCTACCACCCGTACGGCAGCGCGGCCTACCCGTACCAGCTCAACGACCCGGCGTACCGCAAGAACGCCACGCGCGACGCCACGGCCACGCTCAAGGCCTGGCTCAACGAGCACCGCAAGAACCCCTACCCCACCAAGGGCGAGAAGATCATGCTGGCCATCATCACCAAGATGACCCTCAC